TACCTAAAATAAGACAAGGCAGACACACAAGCTGTCTCTCTCGTGAGAATGAAGCTAGAGGTTAACACTGAAATTATACAAGTGCTCATTTCCTAAGAGCCTAGTTTTGGAGGGTTTTTTTAGATAAAATCATGGACATTTTTTGATGCCTCCCAGCGTGAGGCCCTCATCTGCTCCTTCCCCGGCTTCTTATGTAAATAAGAGTTTCTAGCATCCAAAAACTCCCCAGAAAGGTTTTGTCCCCACAACTCCTACAAAGTTGTCTTCCACTTTTGCGGTGCAAAATGCTCTCAAGCCAGAGAGGCGCGAGGCAGAGCCTAAGGGCGGCCAGAGCGCATGCGCAGGTCCCCTCCGCGCAGCCGCCACTGCCTCGCGGGAGAAAGAGGCGGTGACAATTGTTTCCGAGAAATGGCCAAGATCTCAGCCACGGGTGACTTGGCAGGTCGTGGGTGGGCGTGTTTCACAAGTGCTAAGAATGCAGTCATTCAACCAACACCGACTTGAGACTCGAGCTGTTGTTTTTTTGTGTGTTTTAGTGGAAGCCTCGTCATCCCAGGACAAGGGTAGCCTTAGTGCCAGCACCCCTCGGAGCCATGCAGGGGGAGCCCTGTGGGTAACAGGCCAGGAGGATGACATTTCCAGATCCCGGACGCAGGGAGAGGAGGGAGGTGCGGACGGAAGATGCACCCACATTCACGACGGGGCTCACCGCTGCTCTTGCTTCTGTGAACCTGTTTAAATGCCAGGCTGGACAGGTGTCTCTGAGCAGATACCAAACGCAGCCCACTTTTCAAGTCAGAACACAAAACAATTCAGGCTGGACCCCCAGATGGAGCCCACGGTCCCACTGCCTCTGCTGTCCCGCGGGTACCAGGATGACCCGACTCTACTCAATCCTGTTTCCTGTTTCCTCTGCTCCCGTGAAATGAGGTGAAGTGGCATCTGTGAGTTTCCGCTGCGCTCAGTCACGTCTCCCAATCTGAGAAGAGAGAGCATTAGACTCCGGGAAGCCACTCAAGACACCAAGCCCTCAAGGATATGCAGGGTGGGGTCCCCGGGAAAGAAAGGGCTGTCGGCGTGAATCAATTGCACTCCACCACCAAGGAGCCACAGTGGATGGAGAAATCTCACTAAAGAAAAAAATTTAGAAAAAAAAATGATGACAGTTTCGACAAGAACTGGTCCCTTGCTAGAGTGGTTTCATGCTTGGCCTGTACCGTGATCATTGGTCACTCGGTGCCTCACATTTTTACTGTACTAGAACTTTGTCATCACAGATATCAGCTGAGACAGGACAGAGACACAGATTCAGTGGCAGCCCCTTTCCAGTCCGAGGAGGAAAGTCCAAACAAGCAGGTAAGGCCAGCGATGCTACACGTCACATCCACGTGAGTCACGGAAGCACTGAGGTCCACGTCCTCACAACCCCACCCCTCACAACCCTTGAGCAGTGGACATGGACATGGGTGGGCAGGCGGGCCTTAGAGGCCATGAATCAATGCAGGAGCAGCCAGGACAATACCCATATCGAAAATCGTTGTCCACGCTCTCATTCCCCCCTGTCCAGCACATCTCAGATCCCAGCCCTTCCTCTCCCATCTCTGGACAGCAGTGTCTTCCTCTACGGGACCACGAGGGCACATCCTCACCCCTCCACTGACCACAGACGTGGGACAAGCAAAAGTGCGATGAAACCAATGAAGCATCCTGAGCCTTTTGGAGAAGGAGCCTACGCGAATCCCAAATAGCATGATTCTTTTTCTTCCAAGCCCTCCCAGCTTCACGAAAGAAAATAAGGAAATATTAACTTTCCTTCCATGGCCGGGGAGAGATGTCATTAGAGGCCTGAGAAGGGTTTTGCCTACAAGGCACCAGTGGGGAAATCTGCCAGCACTTTGTTGAGCTAAAATGTGGAACTTTCTATTCTGCTTCAACTGTTCCTTTCTCTGCAACCCAAAGGCATTTTTATGAGGGAAACTAGAAAGAGAAAAGCAAAAAAAACCCACAGAGTTTAAAGTCAACTTCTAGATGCTCCTGGCAAACCACGTGGACCCAGCAGACCCCTTCCCCTGAGACACCGCACAGCTGCACTGCTTCTCCGGACAGAAAAAGCAGGAAGTCCAAGCAAAGACGGTGAAAAGTGAGAGTGAAGTATCTGAGCAACCCCGAAAGTGTTTGTCAGGAACCCTGGGTAAACGAGATGAGAAAGGAACTTTTATTCAAATCCTACTTCCACAATCTCATTACAGCAAATTCTCCCCCTCAGCGCTGTCTGAACCTCCCCAACGACTCAGCAATCAACTTATGAGACTGTATTGATCACCTACTATGTGCCAGTCCAAGCCCTGGGCCCTGCCGTGATCCGTTTCAGACCCTCAGGCATGGTGACCGGGGACTCAGCAGGCAGAGGCAGGGGACCACGCCATTATTTGGGGGGGAGGGCAGTTATTAGGTTTATTTATTCATTTTTTCATGGAGGTTCTGGGGATTGAACCCAGGACCATGTGGAGCACACGCTCCACCACTGAGCTACATCCTCCCCTCAACCCCCACCCCATTTCAGACAATAGCCAGTTTCAAACCTCATTCAAAGCAACCCGACGCTTGGATAGTGGCTCATAGATATGGGGGCCCTTCCGTCTCTTTGCCCTCCTATAAAAGATCCTTCTGGTGCATTTTACTCACCCTCCAGGGCCCAGCTAAACTGTCACCTCCAGCAGGAGGGACACAGCCCATGTGGACTGAACCCCACCTGCCAGACCAGCCGGCCACCATCCACAAGTCTGATTCCCCACAAAGGAAAGTCCTACACCAGGGTTTTCCCAAACCTCAGCATGTATCCTAGTCACCTGGAGGCTTGACAAAACACAGAACGCTGGGCTGGTCCCAAAACTTCTCATCCGGTAGACATATGAACAAGGGGGGACAAAAAGGCAGAAACACGAAGTAAACATGCCTTTACATTTGCAACATGGATCATTTGCAGCAACACGGATGGACCTAGAGATCATCGTTCTAAGTGAAGCAAGTCAGACACAGAAAGACAAATACCATATGATATCACTCATATGTGGAATCTGAAAAAAGAAAAGAAAGGACACTATCAACTCATCTACAAAACAGAAACAGACTCACAGACATAGTAAAC